GTTAAGTATGCCATAGAGGAGGCAAGTACCTGTTGGATTCACTGGCAGTAAAGGTTGGGGACCTGGCTAGATCCAGTTGGCGCTCTGTGTCTGCTACAAGTTGTTTAATGAGTGCTTTGGTCTGATCATGTCCCATGCCACATTACCATGTGATGTGAAGGAGTTGTTTGTGCTGCAAGAAGTACATTACACAATTCAGTGGGCCCAATGTGCCCTCAGGACCTACCCTTAGAAGGAGCTGTCCTACTGCACTTCTGCCTCTGGTGGTGGCTGGTCACTGTTGACCCCACAGGGACACTTAAGCAACACAGTAGATGTCTTTGACCTAAGATCATTGGGCAATAATCTTACTTTCATCCAAAAGGGTTTTACTACATGTGTCATGAATGTCTTGTGAGAAAGGTGTGGTCTCTGTTGTCTGAATCCTCCAGTTGGGTTCTCAATTGTTAGAATGAGGAAATTTGGCACTAGAGTTTGTCTGATTTCTGAAACAGAGTTCAAATGTGAACCTGTTATTTTGGAAGATGGCCTAGCCAATCCAAATTGCAATTCTAGGTACACCCAAGTGAATTTATGCAGAGTGAGCTTGTCCCTCTGAGCGTGCTACACTAACAGGTGGTGACACAGTGAATGCACTGAAGAAAGGCTTTATATAACCATAACTAACAGTAGACAAAGGAATCAGTAGCTTGTTCTGGAGACAGGAGAGATGTGAGAGACAAGAGAAGTGTCTTGTCAGGCAAGGGAGGGCAGCAACTTACATCCAACTGCGCAGCATTTCATTGCACTCCCCTTTGCAAATCCCTGGAATATGGAGGAGGCACATACGGTCACCAGGGCCTGGTCTGTACAGATTCTTACAGAGATGCTCACGCATGGCCCCTTGTGCACTAAGGCCTTGGCTGTCACCGCCCCTTCAAAAGATCCATGAACATAGGTGAGTCCTACAACCTATGTACTACAGTCTCGCCAGAGCGTGCTAACTAACAGTCACTTCCAGACTTGGTGGTGCCCAAATGGTTATCAAAAGCAGGAGGGGGAAGAGGAGATGGAGGAAGAATCTGGATAAATGATTCAGCCTCCTTGCCACTGCAGGTGTCATGCCTACCATTGGAGGGACAGCAAGGTGACTCCCTCTAACTTCTCCTCCAGCCACTGTTTCCTTTTCACTAGGAGAGAAGATAGCTTTACTTTTCCTTTGGTTTCTTGTGAATGTGGACATTTGCAATGGCTAGTGAATGACGATGCTCTCATTGGGAGGAGTAACATTTCTCTTAGGGCCACCTGTTCTCTCCTTCCCAACTAGCTCTTCAGTGCCCCACATTAATCCACTTCTCCTTCACTCCCTCACTGCTCCTACATTTGTCTGGAGGTTCTGGCTTCTTCCTGATCCCCTCCTTCCTAGAACGTCTTCCACTCGCACAAGGCTTCTCTCGCTTAGACCGTTGGCTGAGACGTTACTACAGATGGCCCTTTGCCTGAGCAGCTTCTTGTGGCTTAGCCATTTTCTCCTCTTCTTGCAGCCTGCCCCTGTGGAACATTTGGCACAATGGTCTTTCTGCTGAACGAGCAGTACCCATCAGGCTTCCCAAAAGTCAGAGAGGAGCAGAGTCACGAGTGCCTTCTGAGACTTGGCATTCCCCAGCTCTGGATTCTGTGCGCTCCTTCTGTGAGGAGGGTGGCCCTGAGTCCTGCACAATAAGAGGGCTTCAGTTTTTGGTCCTGGCCCCGGGGATGGGTGGGGATGGGGGTTAGAAAAAGGCCAAACCACCACCCGTAATTTGAATGCAAACTAATTTTTCAGCCTACCAGGCAGCCTCAAAGATTTTTTTTTTTTTAGTTCAAGGGAAAACATTGTACAGCCCAAGCTCCCAGAGAAGAAAGCAAACAGAGAAGTCACAAAAGTATCCTCAAGCGCCCTGAGCACCCTGGATCTGCGGGTGCTGTGCCGTCTTCTTTCTTTTCAATTTATTGACATGTTGATTTACTGGTGAATTAATATTCAGCCTTTCTCTACTGCAGCGCTCAAGTGTCCCATTTGTGAAGGAGTTAGAGGGAAATGAAGTCGATTTGGAGTTTGGGGGCAAGGGGGAATTCAACCAAATTCTCAGTGGGTTTCTTTATTTCCCTCCCTTTTAGGAACTCAGACTCTGCTGCTCCAGACTCTGTCCTCCTCCTCCTCCTCCTGCTCCTGCTCTCCTGCTTTTGGGAATTCCCAACTGAGTCCTCGATGCTGCAGAGTTACTTGGAGGAGGAGGCAAACGTCTCCCAACCCGATGCACGAAGGGCATTTTCTTAAGGGTCAGAGAAGGGGCCGACACCCTCAGCCACCTCCTGCAAGGTAAGAGAGCAAAGCTTTAAAAGAAACGCATGTTACGCTCACCAAGGAGACAGAAAACACTCCTCTCCATCTTGCAAGGAAGAAAGCGTGCCTGTAGCCTGTTAAAACACCCGAATAGAGAGGGAGAGGAACACTGTGGCCTGATGGCCTTGCCCAGCTGCTAGTGGGATCCAGGGAGCCCCCAACCCAATTCTCCCCCGCTGGCTCTCCCCACCCTCTGCAGTGCCATGCCAAGCCTTCTCCCTGGAAGAACATGCACCCCCAAGCTCTCCCCGCTCTAGGAAGCAGTTGAATGAATGTGCTCTATGTGAAGCTGTTGCATCCTTCTCTGCCAGAGCATCACAGCATGTCTCTGGGAGCATTATGTCTAGACTTGTCAGTGCTCTAGGACTGACTGCGTCCACGTGAAGGACGGTCAGAACACTGCCTTGGAGAGAGCCGGGGAAGAGGAGCTGACTGACTTGGCCCACTTCTGCCCATCCTTCTCCAGACGTTCAGGGGACACCCAGCAGGCCCTGTAGACTTGTCTCCCTCAGCCTTATGCATGAGGCCTGAAGAAAAGCGTCTCTGTTCAGATAGCTGGAACTGCAGAGTTACCGTTTGGCCATCCTGAACGCTAGTCATGCAGGATTTCTAAATGGGATGAACGCTGCGCTCGTTAAGCCCTGCCTGCTTTCTCGATCTTGAGCTCAGGGTGCAAACACTGGAGAAGAACTAGTGGCGTCTGAGATCTCTGGGGTAGAGCCGTCTCTCATGTATCTCCCATAGATGCCGTCTATTCCTGTCTTCCATTGCACAATATTTGCCTGCAGGCCTGTCCAAATATAGGCCCTTCACAGTTCTGCAACACTCCATCTTCAAGCTCTGGATTGCATCATGAATACATTGCGAAGCCATTTACAAGAAAGGATTGTTTGGGTTCCAATAGCATAAAGGGAAAGGACAGTTTAATTTAAAAGAATCTGCAACTTTGGGTGGGAGGTGGGGGCTAAAGGCCTGGGATTTTACTCCAAAAAGCGAGCGAGGCCAGGAGAAAAAGTAATTTAGATACCGATTCTTCAGTAATGTTCTCACTAAAAATGACTATTTGGCAAGCAGTATTGGACGTCTGTAGGAGCTGCAGTCGAGGTTTCAACTCGAGCAGCCCCACATGGAACCAAAGCTTTCTTCTCACTTAAACTCCCCGCTGGAAGAGAGAGGAGGTGGCGGGCCAACGGAGCAGACGCTTCGATGTCCCGCTTCTAAAGCCATGGACTCTGTGCATAATTTTAAACGACAGAACACCTGTTTGCCGGATTTAAGAAAGGGAGGGGCGATTGAGCAATTGAGCCGGGGGGCTTTTTTTCATCTCTATGGACCCTTTTTCTGTGTAATCCCATCTAACGGAGATGAAAGCTGTCTGATAAATACCAGCAGAATTTATGCCCTCTTAAAATAGAAACTGGCAGACTTTATTTTAATGTTAGCATGTCATGCTCTCAGTTGTTTAAAGAAAACACTTTTGTATGATAGAAATGGGTGGCTTTTGCCAATAAGATGTCCGGTCCAGTTCAACTGGAACATCAAATTTAGCTAAAAATATGAAAACACATGTCTAGGTTGCATGCATAAAGCCACAGAAACATTGACGGTGGAGGTGGCGCAAGGAGACCTTATTCTCCAGGATTAATCGTATCCCAACTTCTCTTCTTCCACACAGAAGTGGCTCTCTATCAGTTTCTTGCTGCAGGAAGTGAGAGTGGGGGAAAAATGACCACATGAATATCTGTCTTGTGAATGTGTCTGGCGAAAGCAAGCAATGTGCAGAAGTTGCCACTAGCTTGCCTAAAAGAAGGGCAGGGTTGCGAGGGTCCTTGCCCCATCCACCATTCACAAGGCTACCCCAGGGAATAAGGCTTCTCTGAATAGCTGCTCGAGTTTTAAGAAGCATCCGTAGCAAAGAGTGTTCCCTTGCTGGACTTCTACGTGTGGGAGCTGCAGAATATCCTGACCTGGCTCTCAGTCCAATACCTGTGAGCCTCGGCCTCTCATTCAAAACTTTGGGTGAGGGTGGGGAGAATACGGAGGTACTTTCTGAATGTTGCGTATGGAAGTATTTTCAAGCAACAAAGAACAAAAGCAGAGTCAGTTTGAGGAGAAGACACTCACTCAGCTCCAGAAAACTGTTTTTGTCACAACCTTTCCTACTCACTTGCCCTCCTTTAGGCCTCTGGCATTTCTCCTCTTCTCTGACATTTTTGAAGGAAACCTAGGCGCAATTCATCTGGTCCTGGAGATTTAAAATTATTCAAAGTAGATTGTTATTCCGTGCCCAAGTTTCTATCGTCTCGAGCTTCAGCTTTGACCCTTCACATTGCTTTTCACAATTGCTTGGTGACATGTGGACCATCATCTTAGAGCCAAGCAGCTCTGCCTCTTTTAAATGACCCTCTTTCTGCCTCTGCCCTTACGACAGAAATGCTCCCAAACGTCGGGACTTCATGCAGAAATAATGCTGGCGGCAACAAGAAATCTGTCCGAACAAAAGAGCAGAAGTCTGCCAGGCTCAGAGTTCAGCAGCCGAGGCAGGGCAGATGCCAAGCAGGCCAACGAGCAGCCCGACAAGAAGCAGAGGGATCATGTGCCAAGAGGTCCCGTCGCAGGGGCTGAGCAATCAGGGTGCAGCCATGGAATAACTGGAGTAGTACCAGACGTTCCAGTTCCTTATGAGGTGAAGGCTTTTGTGCTGCTCGGTTCAAAGCTTAGATTCAGTGTCTTGTTCCCTGGGTCAGAGTCTGTTAATCATTTTGGTGTCCCCAGCATTATTTCCCCCGAGAGCCCTTTGGCGGGGTTCCCGGGCTCTGCTGCTTCGTCTGAGAAAGACTACTCCAAAGGACTTGCAATACAATCCTCGATTTCCAGAGGTAGGGCTTGAAAAGGTCCCAACGTGGAGAATCCTCTCTCTGTTCTGTTCTGTTCTGTTCTGTTCTGTTCTATCTGACAGGTTGGAGCTTGAGCATCAGTGTGGGATGCCCAGATGAAAACCTGAGCTCCCGGTTGCCATCTTGTAGACATTCTGTTAATTTCCAAAGATTCCTCAGTAGTTAGGAAGTTTCTCCTACCCTGCTGTAACCAAGAGGATGGAGCTCCTGGCTGGAGGATAATCAATTTTCTTTAGGCAGGGCTTTCTAAGCAACGGAGCGCTAACTTGCAAAGAGCAGGCTGGATTGTTGAATTGCAATATGACTACCCCCACCCCCACCCCATGACTGATGCTTTGTCATGGATTTTAAGCTTGTACTGGTCCTCCTCCCTTTGAACTTTGGAAGAAGGTTGATCTTGAGGTGGTTGCTTCTCCAGGATAGGAAGCTTCTGAGCTGGTGGCAGGTACAGATATAATTGTGATTTGACCAAATATTTCTTGGGTGCCAGAGGTGACATCTGTGAAGAAGCGTGTGGGGACATTCTTTCCAATGTGAAGGGGATCGTGTTCCCCCACCATGTTGAAAAAATGCCTCCTTCAGGGGAGGGGAGGGCAGCTTGGCTGTCAGGAAGGTAACTGATTGGGCAACAGGTGACTGCAGTTTGTCTCTGGTAGATTTTTACCCTCATTGGGGCACCCATCCAGATGTTTCCTAGTCAGGACAAAATAGACCAATCCTTTTCTGCAGATGGAGCTTTCAAGAAGAGGCTGTTGTAGAAGTCATGCAACCCCAAGCAGGCATAGTTTCACCCAGCCATCAAACTGCTTTTCAACATCCAAAGGATGACTAAATCTGACTGCTCTCCAAGAGTCAAGGGGTAAGGGCTGTCCCAAAGAGATTTCTTGTTTCTTCAAGTTTGGGGGGATGGAGAGAGAGAGATGATTCCTTTGCCATGCTCAGATGTGTCCTCTGATCTGCTGGCTATGTAAATCATCTTGGTTACAAACCATAGGATACTCCAGAGAAGCCAGCTGTACCAGTGATAATCAAGCCATTCCTACCTTTTCTGAAAAGTCATCTGTTACTCAAGCAAGCAAGAGCACGAATCCTGATTTATTTTGGTAGCTTTAAGGTCATGCTAGAGACACCTGATTCCAGCAGGACAGGTGAAGGGCAAAATTCTTGTTGTCCTTGAGAATTTGTGACTGGGCTGTGTCACCACAGATTGCAAATGGGGGCTTACAGAACTGAGACCCCTCCACAAATGCCAAGAGAATTGGAATGGCAGGGCAGCAAGTCCCCCTACCTGCCCCATGCAGGAAGGGAACTGTTTGGAGGACCATCTAGGCTCCGGTATCTGCACATGTGCTAAATGCTGGCACCCGAGTCTTCACCTGGATTTAACGCAGGCTGTTCTGTATTAGAGAACCAACATATCATCTACATTCCCTTCTGTAGCACACCTTCAACCCTCAAATGATTTAATGCCCTTGCAAAACTGTGTAGGGAAAATCGGTTTACTTTCTTAGTTCTCACAAAATAAATTATGGGAGAAAGTTCATTTATTGCATCTTAAGCAGGTAGCCCCAAACTTCAAACACTGATGTAAATGTTGACACAGTTTTCTCTTGCATAGTCTTTCCATGGCATTTTCTCCCTCCGTATGAGAGGCAGATCCAGGTGCTATACTGTGACCAAGAAACAGAACCTGAAGTCTGGTTTTGCAGATCTCTAAGAAGAACAATGTTGGGAACAAAGTTAGCCCCCACTCGTATGGGGACATTGCTTAGATTAGGGTACAGATACTCCTCCTCCTGCCATGATCTCCTCTGGCTCTTAATGATAGGAATTAAGTCTGGATAAAGTTATCCCTCATTCATTTTGATGGATCTGGAGCAAGGCCCATTTTAAGGAGAACAAGGTCTTGGAATGTGATATTGTCAGAGCTCGGTGGAAGCAGGACTAGGATGAAGATCCATCTTATCTCTGTTCCATAAAGAGCTAAATACAGTTGCAAAGTCCAGCCGCTGCCACTGCAGCAAAATCAACCATCTGTTTTGCTGCTCCCACTGATTATTTTTCAGAAGTAGACTGCCC